ATGTTACTTATAACAAAATAGGTCATCTTCACCCTCAAAATAAGGTATACACATAATACAGATTAAGTAATGTCACATACAAACGTAACTCAATTCAACATATCATTTATATTATAATTTGAAATTAAAGTATTTTAAAAACACTTTAACATGTTAATTTAAAGAATTTAAACCAAAATAAGGTATTCACATAGTGCCGAATAACTAATGTCACACATAAATGTAACTTAATTTAACATATTATTTATGTTGTTATTTGAAGTTAAATTTTACTACAAAAAAATAGAGCATCCTAAAAATCACATTCACATATTAATTTTAAGAGTTCCATCATAAGGTTAGTCACTTGAATTAACTTTAGATAACAAACAAAATATTCGATATTTTCCAAAATAATGAAAAGAGTCACAACCTTTTTTTTTTTTTTTTTTTTTTTTTTTTTTTTTTTTTTTTTTTTTTTTACAAGTATTAAAAATGCATACATTTAGTTATTCTCTAAAAGTGAACCATGTAGTTCTTTGATATAGATCCGTTACTTTCATACCATTGTGTTATCGAAAACAACTTAGTAAAGTCTGGTATTAATTGTCATTTGCTCACTCACCACCTTTGTACTGTTATGTTATCAAAAAAAACTTGAAAATTTTGATATTAGTTGCCATTTTCTCACTCATTACCTTCACCCTCATATCAAGGTATTCACATAGTGCCGACTAACTAATGTCACACATAAATGTAACTCAATTCAACATATTATTTATGTTGTTATTTGAAGTTAAATTCTACAACAAAAAAATAGAGCATCCTAAAAATCACTGTCACATGTTACTTTAAAGAGTTCCATCCCAAGGTTAGTTGCTTAGGCTAACTTTAGACAATATACAACATACTCGATGTTTAGCAAAATAATTGAAAGAGCTACGGCCATTTTTTCAAGTATTACAAAATTGTACATTTAGTTATTCTCTAAAGTGAACCATAGAATTCTTTAACAGAGTTCATGTTACTTTTGTACCAATGTATTATATAAAAAAAAAAACCTACAAAGATTGGTATTAATTGCTATTTGCTCACTCAATACCTTTACCCCGAAAAGAAGATATTTACACAGTGTCGTGTAACTAATGTCACATATCAATACAACTCAATTCAACATATTATTTATGTTGTTATTGTTGGAAATTTTATATATAAATAATAAAAATTATTTTATAGTCATGCACTACGTTTTCTTAAATAGGATTACAATGTGATTATTGATCTTTGATGGATTAGGTTATACTTTCCAATTTGGTGGGTTGCAACTAAATTATTTTGTTTGTGGTCTAAAGGTAGCCCAACTGACTTTAACCTTGGAATGAAACTCTTAAAATTAACATGTGAAAGTGTTTTTTTAATGCTCTGCTTTTTGTTGTAAAATTTAACTTCAGATAATAACATAAATAATACGTTGAATTGAGTTATATTGACAAATGACATTAGTTATGGGCACTATGTGAATACATTCTTTTGAGAATGAAGGTAGTGAGTGAGCAAATGGCTATTGATACCAATCTTTTGCCAGGTTTTTTTGATTCATTTATCACTCTAGTCTTGTGAGCTTACTTTTGTACATCAATCTTTAAAGGGATACTCTTGTACTACCACTTTGTTACTTGAAAACATTGTAAAAGTTAGTGTGACCCAAAGGAAGACTAGGAAAATGTTATTCTCCTAGTAAGCAAATAAGAAGCAAGGTCTTGCTTCTTGTTAAGGTTTGCTTTTCCCCCTCCTCTAGAGTCAATTATTGGGTAACAATACGTTTTTTTAATACTTGGAAAAAAAGAAAAGAAAAGAGGTGACTTTTAATTTGGGATTTAACTTTTTAAATTAACATGTGAAAGTGTTTTTTTAATGCTCTGTTTTTTGTGGTAAAATTTAACTTCAGACAACAACATAAATAATATGTTGAAATGAGTTATATTGATATGTGACATTAGTCATGGGCACTATGTGAATACCTTCTTTTGAGAAGAAGGTAGTGCGTGAACAAATGGCTATTGATACCAATCTTTTGCCAGGGTTTTTTGATTCATTTATCACTCTAGTCTTGTGAGCTTACTTTTGTACATCAATCTTTAAAGAGATACTCTTGTACTACCACTTTGTTACTTGAAAATATTGTAAGGGTTGGTGTGACCCAAAGGAAGACTAGGAAAATGCTGTTCTCTTAGCAAGCAAAGGAGAAGCAAGGTCTTGCTTCTTGTTAAGATTTGCTCTCCCCCCTCCTCTAGAGTCAATTATTGAGTAACAATACGTTTTTTTAATACTTGGAAAAAAAGAAAAGAAAAAAAAGATGACTTTTAATGATGAAACCCTTTAAATTAACATGTGAAAGTGTTTTTTGTGGTAAAATTTAACTTCAAACAATAACATAAATAATATGTTGAATTGAGTTATATTGATATGTGATATTAGTTATAGGCACTACGTGAATACCTTCTTTTGAGAATGAAGGTAGTGAGTGAGCAAATGGCTATTGATACCAATCTTTTGGTAGTTTTTTGATTCGTTTATCACTCTAGTCCTGTGAGCTTACGTTTGTACATCAATCTTTAAAGAGATACTCTTGTACTACCACTTTGTTACTTGAAAACATTGTAAGGGTTGGTGTGACCTAAAAGAAGACTAGGAAAATGTTGTTCTCTTAGCAAGTAAAGGAGAAGCAAGGTCTTGCTTCTTGTTAAGGTTTGCTCTGCCCCTTCCTCTAGAGTCAATTATTGGGTAACAATACATTTTTTAATACGTGGAAAAAAAGAAAAAAAAGAAAAAGATGACTTTTAATTTGGGATGAAACTCTTTAAATTAGCATGTGACAGTTTTTTAATTCTCCTTTTGTGGTAAAATTTAACTTCAAATAATATGTTGATTTAAATTATATTTACATGTGATATTACTTATTTGGCATTATGTAAATACCTTCTTTTGAGGATGAAGGTGGTGATAAAAAAGGTAAGTTACTTTGAAGACTCTCTCTTAATGTTACTAACACTAACGAGCATTGTTGATATGAGATAACTAAGAAAGACAATTTTCTATGAAGGATTTTGAAGTTACTTTAAAAAACTATGGTGAATATAAAGTTGTTAAGAGAGAGAAGTTAATTACTAAATTAGATTTATTGTAGTGTCAATATTGGTTGTAATGACATAAGAAACACAATTCAAATATTTCTTCAAAGACATTTCATAAATTGATAAACAATTAATTACAATATATCCATGATGCCTTCATTGACACTTGGAGTAATTTAAATTAAAAGAATCAAACTTCTTCAATTCTATCAATCTAATACAATGGTTATAATAAAAATAATAAATCAAGTTATATAAACGAAATTTCAGAAAACTTTATCAACTCTCTATCAACGTATGCAATGGTTTACACCAATGTGCTTCATCTTCAATATTAATAAAGTGAAAATCCAGGAGCATGGTATCTGCATCAATGCCACTAACAACCTGCATTAAAAAAAAATGTCATTTTACTAATAGATAAATAAATAAATCTACCTAATGAAAACTGAAAGCAGATGATTCAATTAGAATACTAGCAAATGAAGGAAGACCGGTGGTGATCTAGCATAATTATATGTCTGATAAAAAATTGTGAAGTATCAAACGTGTTCTACATCCTTAACATAATCAGTGAGATTAAAATTGATGCATGAGCTTCGATTCTGGAAAATAATTAACTACTATTAATTAAAACAGCTTATAAATTAAGCTAAACTAACAAGAGTTATCCATATCTAAATTAATTACTACCTAGCCGCAGCGTCATGAGCAGGGTCAAATCCACTCGACAACCCGACATCAATAATTACCAAAAATAAAAATAGAACAAAATTCAAACCTAAATAATACTAAGGTAATGACAATCAACACAACAGAGAATCATATAATCATATCCACACCCAAATACACTTGTTTACCAAAGTCCCTGCACAAAAAATATATATATATACACACACACACACACACATATACGCATACAAGTATACAAATAGATTATGCCCAAGTACAATAAAGTGAAATAGAAAATGTTACAATACAATCAATGACATATTTTCACCAGAATATTAACCAGATATGCATTCCTTTGGTTGCGAATAATTCCTCAATCCTGTTGTATATTGCAAACCTATGAAGAGCATACAATAATGTAAATAATTAGAAATATAAATACTAATCTATAAAAATGGACCCAACTTAGTTCCAAGATACCAAATCCTCTTTCTTTCTAGTTGAATCAAGTTGGAATATATTGTAATTGCTTAAATGCAAATCATTGACAAGAATAATATATGGATGTTAAAGTATTAAGATACTTATGAGCAACCAAAGTCGGTACACTGTGTTTCCAAATGGTTCAAGCGTCACAAATTTCAATGCATGTGATAGAGTTGTTAGAACCATTAGACTCTGCACCATTATCTCAAACATATTAACAGATCATGCAATTTGGTGTGATGTTGTTTGTGTTGATAGGTTAGGTTAACAGAATGAAAATTGTTAGTATAATTCTCGAGCTATTGTTGCAGGACAAAATTGTTTCTAGACAAGTTTAAGGGGGGAAATTATTTTTTGGTAAAGTGCGAAGGAGGAAAATTATGAAGACAAATAAAATAATTTTCCATTAAAATTGCATCATTATTAGTTGTAGCATTTCTGTAACTCAAATGAAGATGAAACATACTATGAAATCCCACTGCAGTGTTCTGAGCAACTGAGCAGAACCAGGCTCTGGCCCAAGGAGGGCCTCATCAGGCCCATAGAGGATGGAGAAAAATTTGGTCACCTTGGGCCTCAAAATTTGAGGCCCATAGGTGATGGAGAAAAATAAAAAATAAAAATAAAGTTAGGGCAAGTTTCAGACGACACAATCTGCTTCGACACTCCGCAGGGCGCAGCCTCAGCTATCGCCTCAGGTGACAAGGTATGTTCATCCTCTTTCTCTCTTCTCTCTCCTTTTGCATGAATCGTTCTTTTATATATATCTTTCTTTCATCTCTTCATTTGATTTGTTCTAACTTTGGTTCGTTTGATTCGGGAATTTAAATTTTGTTATAAGCTTTACAAAAAAAACTAGACTGGATAAGCTTTTCAACGATATATTATATGCCTAATATTATCCCCAACAAAGCCCCCGAAGTCAGGTTATATGCAGTCAAGTCCAATAGAAAAGATTGATCAATTGAACCTGATGTCGATCGACTGAAGTTACTCCAGAATATCTCAATCGAAAAAGCAATCAATCAAGGAAAACCAAGTAGGTGCCACCCAATAATGTAGGAGGTTCAAAGTCGATAAAATGCGCATTTTCAAGTCCGAAAAGGTTTCTAAACTTTCTCCGAAACTTCTCCAACATTCTAAATCAATTGTTAATCAACTCCAACACCATAAGAAGGTACTCTGATTTATCTAAACAAGAGCATAATTGTGATTCAATTTTCAATCATAACTTAGGTCTTTAATAAGGTATCCTATATTATTGTGTGACGGAGTTCTAAAGCAAGGATTGGAGAAACGGATCACATGAGGAGCAAATCTGTTTGACGAACGCATTGTGTGCATGGAAACTTGAGTGGAGAGTTTGGTGGATGAATCTGTGTCAAAAGGTAAGATGGAGTTCTGGGGTTAGGAAACTGTTAATTTGGTTCTAATACTACCTTCTTCGTAGTGAATTTCATTTGCCTGAACTAGGTTCCGTGGTTTCTTCCACTTGAGTTTTCCACGTGAATATGTCAAGTATGTTTTAAGAAAGATAGCTACTAAGCAATTCACCAGTATGCATTATTAGCATATACAGAATTGAAAGATAACTACTAAGCAATTCACCTTTTTGTGTGTGTGTGTGTGTGTGTGTACTGTGTGTGATAGCTATCAAAAGCTGAATGAATATATTATGGTTCTCTTAGTATTTTAATAGATGTGTGCCTTTCTAGTTTCTACATGTGTCTTTCATGGCGATCGAGTCCATAATATATGGCAGGCACTTTTTTTTTTTTGCCCTCTCCCTAATTTCACTCCAATTTCACAACAGCAGCAACCATACCCCTTTTCCTCATAAGTTTTTGCATTTTCACATTCAATCCTACGAAAATTAAGGATCCCTTCTAGTGGGTTGAACCGTTTTTCGATATCTAAATTATGCTCATTACTTCTCTACAAAATGAAGATCTCCTTACACACTTCGGATATCAACTAAATATCTCAGAAAGTGATACTGAATCAGACGAACAAATCAATGTTCTTACTGATCACTCTGCTACAGAAGAATTCAACAATTCCGATGACTCATAGTCTGTTGACGAAGAAATTCAAGCTGAACACTGTTTTAGATGAATCCTTCTACGGGGATTTCCCTTCAACAGAAAAGATGCTCCCTGTTGATGATACTACACTACCATCCAGCACAACTCCGGCAGAAAGTTCTTCAAAAGCTGAAGGTAAACAACCTTCTGCCTCGTAAAATTATGATTATATGACCTTTCCCACCTTTAGCCGATAGGATGACCTCAACAAGTACCCTATTTCTCAAAATGGTACTTATCTTGATCTTTCACATATCCCATATAAAGATCATCTTAAAACTATTGACGAATGGGCACAATCCCTAGCCATTTTAGTCAATAATCAGAAAGCCTCTTGGGGAAAAGATCGCTTTCTTGACTATATTGCAGCAAACAAGGAGATGCTCTTGATTGGCTTCGCCGGTGGGATCAAACAGATCAAGGCAAGCGACAGAAAGGTGAGCTTCTTAATAATTTTAATGAACTCAACGCGCTTCTTAATAATTTTAATGAACTCAACGCCATTCTACAAGGATTCGTCAAAATCCTTAAAGAAGAACTCGTTGGACATACCGGCGAAACCCTCCTTTTTGATGATGCAAATTTCGCTCTTTCCAAAATCGAATTATGCGAGAAGTGCATATGCTCAACTTCACTTCTCATCCTGAAGAAGAATCCTCTAACATTAAACTCAGCAATGTTATTGGTGAAGAAGTTCAGTTTACGAATGAACAACTCATTCAGTTCGCCAAACTCCAGAAATTGTATAAGGACGATCTTTACAAGACTTCTAAGTCATCTCATCATTTGATTTGTTCTAACTTTGGTTCGTTTGATTCGGGCCTTTACCTTTGTTCCAATAGTGAAAAGTAGCTTCCAAACTAGGGTTTTTTTGTGTGTGTGTGTGTGTACTGTGTGTGATGGCTATCAAAAGCTGAATGAATATATTATGGTTCTCTTAGGGTTCGTTTGGTTAACGTGAAGTAGGTAGAAAGGAAAAGAAACGGAAAAGAAATTTAATTTTTGGGGGTTTGGTTACTTGGAAAGGGAAAAATTTTGGGAAAGTGAGATTCCCGCATCGATAAATTTTCCCAAAATATTTCCCCGCATAAAACACAAGAAAGTTAACTTTCTCGCACAAAACTGTCATTTTATTTCCAAAATTTCTATTATGCCCAGTTGTTTCTCCATTTTTTTTTCACATAACAAATATAGTGGTTATTAAATTCAGACTTAGAAAATATTCCAACAATTATTATATATTGGGACACATAATTTGATTATATCCAATACATCGTTACCTAAAATTTTTGAAGATAAATTAAGAGTTGAAGGGTAGAATATTAAATAATATAACTTTTAATTTTTATCAATATCTCAATAGAAATATGAGAAGAGATTAATTTGAGTCATCATATTATTTATATGACATAACAATTTTACATGGATGGAAATCAATATAATATTTATTTTTTACTATCTATACAGCCTATGTTACCCGGACTCGGGTACGGGTGTCGGACACGGATACGTGTCTAGAGGTCGGATCCACCAATCTATTCAATTATAGGACACGGGGACACGGAACAAAAGTGTCCAAAATTACGACACGGGTACTTGGACACGGCATACAAAATATTAAAAAATGAAAAATTATATTAGTGATAGTCTGATAAATTTAATCAGATAGGCAACTAAGCATGGCATAAGGCAGCAACTAACAAGATAACTTAGATAAGTAAGAGATGATGTTAATTCATAATTGTTAAATAAGTTAAATAACATGAAGAAAACAGAGAGGGAAAAAAAAAAAAAAATATAATATAATAAAATTGGGGAGAAGATTTTTCATGAGTACTGTTTTTTTTTTTGGAAGGTAAATAAATTGTATTGAAAGAAAGAATTTACAGCAGTCCAAAGCTTCAACCAATGGGCCAACCCATAAGTTAAACAGCTCATAAGGTAAATATTGTGTTGAAAGAAAGAATTTACAGCAGGCCAAACCCTCAACCAATGGGCCAACCCATAAGTTAAATAGCCCATAAGGCCTTACAGATGGATTAAAGACGTATTCAGTCTAGGGTTTCCTAAACTAAAGAAGTCTAAGCCAAAAATCATCCGGTTCCAAGCGGCAACGTAGGTGATGCACTAGCCGCACCGTGCACCACCGTGCTCATCAGTCTAGAGGCTCTGCCGGCGGCCGTATGAAGGAATCAGGCAGATCCCACGTGAGTATCATTCTCCTAGAACAATCAGAGTCTTTAACCACCATAGATGATAGTCTCTGCCTTATCAATAATAAATAGGGTTATTCTTGTCAAAAACCCATCACACACACACAGTCACACACACACGCATATACGCACAAGAGAGAAGAAAGAAAAGAAGTCTCAAATCTTTTGAGGCGGCAAAAACGCAACTTAATACGGAGTACTACACATTATTTTCTAATTTTTTCATCGTAAACAAATGCTTTAATTATAAGGTTAAAAATGTAAATTTACACTTATTTCAAACGGTCAATTGTGGTGAGTGGGTTACAGCTGGTAACCCACTAACCACATATTTATTATTATATATATACCATATATATATATACTACTACCATATATATATATACACGTTTCTCAAGGACAATGACAGGCAGCTCTCTGCTGAAATTTATTTACGCGTCAGAACGTGAACAACACGCTCCAAATAGGGTAAGTTTATGTGCAAAACCAACGCGTGAAGAACCCTCGTCTTCTCCAAAACCCCCTTCCTGAAAATCGCGGCGAAGCCAGTAATTTCCGACCACAATTTCCGACCACTGAAATAAGGGTTTTCTTCAACGGCCGTGTCCGATCTTGACCGTACAAGGTCGGACGCATATCCCGTGTCCGTGTCCGTGTCGTGTCGTGTCGTGTCGACACGGACACCCTCGCCGGAAACGACGAGTCCAGGTAACATAGTATACAGCTTTGAACTGAATAACGTTTTATACTGTGTGATTTTTGCACAGAAAAATTTGCATAGAAGTGGTTCATATTCATAAAAAATATGAAAGGGGACTGATAAATTATGCAAGAACAATAAAATTATTTTGCATGAATTATAAAATATGTTACTTTTGCATGACAATTTTTATCCTAGAGTTGCCATTTAATGTTTCTTCGAGGGGGCTTAAAAAAAAGATATATTTAATAATTCAATAAAATATGAGTATGTTATCATTAATGAACTATATTCTACATATAAATATAAATAATTATTATTGAAAACACAAAATAAAAAAATCTGGCAACTAAAATGCAGTCCTCCTTAGTTTTTATAATTTAAATATGAATATAAATAATAATAATAATAATAATTAATAATCCATTATTTTATGATAAAACATGAGTATGTTATGATAAGTGAATTATATTCTACATATAAATATAAATAATTATTATTGAAAACAGAAAATAAAAATAATCTGACAACTGAAATGTAGTCCTCCTTACTTTGTCTAATTTAAATATGAATATAAATAATAATAATAATTATTATTAATCCATTATTTTACTATTTAATTGCTAAAAATTAATATAAATAATTGGGTATAAAGATGATTCATCCAACACAAAATTAATTTATTTTTTAATATTTTAAATCATGAGGGTAATTTTGGTAAGTAAATCATTTTCTTTTCCCTTTCATGCTATCCAAACTAATAAAATAATATTTTCCCTAACTTTCTTGAAATTTTTTCTTGCTAACCAAATGCATGCAGGAAACTTGATTTTCCTTTCTTTCACTTCACTTTCTTTCACTTTCACTTTCCATCATAAATTTCCATCTAACCAAACGGACCCTTAGTATTTTAATAAATGTGTGCCTTTCTAGTTTCTACATGTGTCTTTCATGGCGATCAAGTCCATAATATATGGCAGGCACTTTTTTTTTTTTTTTTCTCCTCTCCCTAATTTCACTCCAATTTCACAACAGCAGCAACCATACCCCTTTTCCTCATAAGTTTTTGCATTTTCACATTCAATCCTACGAAAATTAAGGATCCCTTCTAGTGGGTTGAACCGTTTTTCGATATCTAAATTATGCTCATACTTAAAAGTGCCAAATTAAGGGTTTTTTTATATTTTATTTTTATATGGAGATACATACCACCATTATTGATGTTATTTGAAGTTGGCTCGGCTAGAATTTCAGTTAATAGTACTGTCAAAGCACTTGCCATCAGAATGTACAAACACATGGAAATCAAGAGCAGGCTTTAACGAAACAAAAGTTAATGGTTTTTTCTATTAATTTGCACAGGTCTTCTGCAGCAATGATCAATCAATCACTGCTACTAAAGTTGATTCCTCATCCTGAAATCAAGAAAGGGGTAATTGGCTCCCAAAAAAAACACACCCAAAGTGTAGTTAATATAAAGAGTGAAAGACAAAACTATATATGATAGTGGATGCCACATATAACCTAAAAGTCCCACTACTTCTTCAGCACTACAAGTTCAGCCTCCTATATATATAGTCACCTCATCTCCACATATTTTTGTCATCTGTAATCATCAAATTTTAGCAGCTATATAAACAATGAATGTAAAAAAGAAGCTGCAGTTTTCTGTTCCTCATTTCCACTTTTGGACTGTATTTTGGATACTCTGTTTTGTCTTCTCTCCTCTCCTCTTCTCTCCTCCAGATTCCAGTGAAAACTCCAGCCAGGAGATCATTCGACCAAACTGCTTGATTTTAGATTTTTTTTTTTTTTAATTATATTTATTGTATGATCAGCAATGCTTAGTTGTTATTGTTTCTGTTTGATTCTCCATCCGTTTTATGTTAATTGTGATCTTCTTTCACATGCTAGCAGGACACTCTTCTTAGAATCAAATCATTGCATATTGAGGTAATATATATTTTCTTTAAACAAAGCAAATTATTATTATTATTATTATTTTTTTGAAGTCTAGTTTTATGTTGATTATGGTTCCTGTTATTTAGATTTCAAGAGATATCATTATGTATACAAGAAAATTTGAATCTGGGCATGAAAAAAGGGGGGAAAAAGAAAAAGAAAAAGAAGAGAGATGAAGAATTGATTCATTCTCAAAAAGGAGATATTCTTAAGTTTTTTAGGAGCAATACACAAGTAGAGGGTTTAGTTGAAGATTTGGTGAATGAAGAACATATGAATGCGAAAGCAAATGAAGAAAATCTCAATAAACATGAAGATTTAATGAATGAAGATCATAGGAAGTTAGTCAATAAACATGAAGATTTAATGAATGAAGATTATAGTTATTAGTTAGTTGTCTTATGCACAATGCACATGCGTACAATTATATTAGCTATAGAATTTGAAAACATCATGTGAAAATTCCGCACTCCTATAATTTTTTTTGCGCGTGTGAAACTTAAGAGCCTCACATTTGAAGTTCGCCTAGGGCCTCTCAAAATATTTGGAATCTCAGGGCCGGCCCTGCTTGAACATGTTGTAAACGGAGATATACAGAATAAGCAAAGAGTTGCAGAGTGTAATAACACCACAACAACCACAAAGAAGCAACTTGTTTCAAAGTTTTGGAGATTCGCTAATGGAGTACAGAAAAATCAAAGACCAGGTTAGCTATTTTGGATCTTTTACCTGAAATCTCATCTGGGTTTTGTGTTCTTTCTCAATTCTCTTTAATAGAATTCAATGCTGTTGAATAACTGTCGAGATTTGATTCACTTTTTACATTTTGCCGATGCCATCTTTTGCCAATATTCTGGATTCCTTATCTGTGTGTTGCAAACTCAGTCATTCATAAATTCCATGTGAAAATTTTCATGATTATCATTGATTTTGATCTGTCCGCTTTGTCTAATATCAAACAACTTATAGTTCGTGCAACTAATTTTCAATGTATATATATATATATATATATATATATATATATATTAATTCAAGTCTTCTTTTTGATTCTCTGTTCAGTCACTTCAGCAACTGTCAGCATTAGATTGAAGTCTTTCCATTTTATTTCTGTATAAATTCAACCAAATCACTTTCACTTGTAGTTATTTAGATGTGCTATGAACCCATTTTGTAAGATTTGTTATCTTTGTTGAATCAGGGTGTGTTATCTATCATGTTCCTTGTGTATTTAGAAACTGTGCTTATATGAGTTGTATATTGCAAATTGCAAATTGATTCTTTTGATTGCATTTAACATGCACTCATATTATGATTAATATATGCAACTTATAGGATGAAGATGGGAAGGCAGCTGACGATGATATAGAGAGCTTACATGGGAAAGCTCTTTCAGGTGGTATGTTTTTGTTAAAGCTCAACCTTGAACTTGATGCAGCACCCACTGGGTAATCTATCATGCTTTCTGGGAATCATGAGCCCATATGCATTTGTCTAGTCCTAATAATAGCCATTGCTGTTGCATTTACTGTAGGTAATGGGGCCGTTTTTGGAGGCAGCTCTACCGAAAGATCTAAGTGGAAGCTCAAGTAAGACATCATTCAAATCATAGTGGTGTCTTGTGCACTGGATAAAACAAATAGAAATGATATCTTAATCTAATTTCTTATTTCTAACTCTTTCCTATTTGATATAGGTCAGTTGTCACACTTGCGCTGACTGTGCTTACGAGCTCACAAGCAATACTCATTGTCTGGTCTAAGAGAGCTGGAAAATATGAGTATAGTGTTACAACTGCAAATTTCTTGGTGAGAAGATAGTATTATTTATTTGTAATAAAATGGAAGGCATGAGTCTCAAAATGTTAAATCTATGATAATTATTCACCTTATAACACCAAGGGCGGTAATAGAATCAATTCTCATAGGAATTAAGGCTGACCTTTAGTTTCCTCCTTTTGGAATCAGGTGGAGGCTTTGAAATGTGCGTTCTCTCTCGCAGCCTTGGGAAGAATCTGGAGAAATGAAGGTGTTACCGATGACAACAGGTTTGCTATATCATCTTTTCCTTTTTCCATTTTCTTCGTTTGTGTTTGTAGCTTGTAATTGTTACATATCTTTGGGATACAGTACTCTTATATATTAACAGATCTGCAATGGTAGTCAATTAGTTTTTTTTTCCAAAACTTTAACAATTATGTGCCAGAAAGAAATTTCAATATCAAGGATAAAGTCTGTCACTGTAATGCAGATCTCGTGGGACATTCACACAATTGACGCTAAATTTGACCTTTATGCAAACATAAAGGGATTTAGGCCAAAAATTCGATTGGTTTTACCTAGGGAGGAACTTCTGACCGCCATTTTGCTGTCCCCTTTCTTGTATCACTCTCCCATTGCAACCTTTTATTATGGGAAAATAGTTCCTTCATCACATGATTCTAACATTATTATTTTAAACTTTTTTTCTGCCCTATATTCGTTACTCTGTATAAACTCAAGAATGGTTTTAAGTTGGAATTATCAGTTTGCTAGGAGTTTTGCACGGTGTGATTGTTGACTAATTGTTCCATTCTTGTTATTTGAATGTTTTACTTAAATTCTAATCCAGGTTCACTGTATTATTGATCAAGGAACCCTTCATAAATTTAGATGTTGCAATTTTTTTTCCTGTCTTGATGTATGCCTTGCTATTATTTAGGTTGAGTACAACATTCGATGAAGTTAGTGTTTACCCCATTCCTGCAGCACTTTACCTTGTCAAGAACTTACTTCAGGTAGGTCGTATTCTTCTTTGGTTTTTACAGTTATTAATTGCTTTGGCCTTCTTGTTTTCTGAGACATCACTTTATGTGGCAGTATTACATCTTTGCATATGTGGATGCTCCGGGATATCAGATACTGAAGAACCTGAATATTATTAGCACCGGTGTGTTATATCGAATTATTCTTAAGAAGAAGTTAGTCCTTCTTCCACTTGTTAGATTCCTTTATGTGTTGAGAGATTAGAGGAGAAGCCCTTAAAAAATTGTTTGTTGTAGGCTTGTGGCAAAGGATTCTGGTTTGATATTTTTCCTTGTTTGTTCTCCTTTGATATAAAAGAAAGGAAAACTTTTAAGCAACACAGTTTCTTTATGCTTTTCCATTAATATTCTAAATCCAAAATTGTTTCTTGTGGATCATTATTAAAATCCATAAATAAGAGCATGTAGAAGCTGAGTAACTTTTATGCTCTTTACCCCACCATTGACAAACTGAGCTACTATATTAATCTGGAAGAAAGTTTTTGAAAAGTCAACATTTAACAAGAAAAAACACTTAACAGAACAGGACTGTGGGGCGACTCTTGTTAGAAATTATGTTCTGATAATTAAATATATTTTTTTTCAGGTTAAGTGAGATTCAGTGGGCTGCTTTCATTCTATTGTGTGCGGGGTGCACCACAGCACAACTTAATCCTTCGTAAGAATGATTAGGAAATTATTTTAATTGCATTCTTGTGGGGTCTCAATTTTGATTGTTTTGGTTGTTTAAGTGACATTGCTTTTACTGGTGTATTTGGCATATTGACCTTGAAATCTCTTTGGGAGTATCATTGGATAGTTCAATTTGATGGGCATGTTGATTGCATGTCTATGATATACAGCCTGACTTGTAGTCAAGTGATGAATGTATGTGAAATCATATTGCACTAGTGCTTAAACCTACAATCCTTTAATTACTTTAAACATTTCATCAATTTTTCTAGACATTGTTCTGTGTGTATAAGAAGAGAGGAACATTGTTCCTCAATTTCTGTCTTTTTTTTCACCTCATTTAGATTTTCTTTTTGTGTTTTTTCATTTATTGCCATTTCTTACGCAATGATATTGTTTATGCAGTTCTGATCATGTTCTTCAAACTCCCTTTCAAGGTTGGGTTATGGCAATTGTGAGTTATTGACATTTTGAGTTTGATCCATCAAGTTGAAGTGAAAATTTGATTTTTTTTTTTTTTCTAGGAAAATGCTTCTTATTGTAACTGTTAGTAATTCCTTTTTAGGTCATGGCCCTTCTAAGTGGTTTTGCAGGAGTGTACACAGAGGTAAATTTCGTTAAGCATCCATTTTGCTCTTTATGATCAAGATCGGCAGTCATATTTAAAGCATAATTCATGTTCAGATGAATTCCTCATTCTTTAAAATTTGTCAGGATTTATTTGATTCTGGTTGGTAAATAGTTCTTTTAGAGCTCCCCAAAGAAAATATTGGTTATGCTATGCAAAAAGGAAAAAAGTGGGAAATCTAGATTGTGGGAAATCTCAATCAAATGATCTAGATTCTTGTTTTTGTTTTGTTGATGAGCTTCCTTCTCCTTTCTGCAGGCTATTATTAAAAAGCGTCCTTCAAGGAACATAAACGTGCAAAACTTCTGGTTGTATGTCTTCGGGATGGCCTTCAATGCTATTGCAATAGTGATCCAAGATTTTGATGCTGTCGTGAACGAGTAATTTGAGATTGCTCTTTCCTTCTAATTTTACTCATGTTTGTTTTCTAGTCAACATTTAACATTTACAAAGTTTGAGCTTGTCTGCTGAGCATAAAACATAGCAGATTTAAAACTTATATGGGTTACATTGGCATCCTATAGTTCTTCGATTATGGTAAAAATAGTAAATTAATGGCACCACATGGATCTACCATTATATTGAAAATAGTAAATAAAGTAATTTGGATGATACTTGGTTTCCTAATTGATAGGAAGATATATAATTTCTCTTATTTCAGTACATATTTTCTTCTATAGGAGGTGCTCCTGTTAAGTCATAGTTATTAGGCAGTATACCGAGATTGAAAAGATCAAATTCCAGCAATGAACAAACAAAACAAAGATATGAACCGGGTAAATAGAAATATGTTTCTACTTATTAAAAAAAAAATAGAAATATGTTTCCAGTTTATCAAAATTATGAGCTTTTTTGACATCCATATGATCTGCTAGAGTTAATTGATTTCCATTGGGTCCCAAATTCTTCAATTACAATTTTTTTTTTTTCTTTTTCTTGTAAGCATTAATTTGTTTAAAGATTCAACTTGTTTTCTGAAATAGGAAGCTTTGCTATCACTGTTTTGTTACTAGTAAAGGTCTAATTTTCTTGTACAATGAGAATATATCACTCCTGTATGTTTTACTGGTAAATATTTTCTTGTACAGAGGGTTCTTCCATGGGTACTCATTGATTACAGTCCTCATGATTCTTAACCATGCACTAAGGTAATATATATCTCCTTTCAGAATTAATATAGTTCAGCAGTAGCTTAGTTGCTTCTACTTCCTAATTTTCTGTTTAGCAAGAATTAATTCTCATAAGAATGTGTGAATCTTAGTGTTTTTGTGGTAATTTTTTATTTTTATTTTTTTACGAGCAAGTTTTTCTGGTCGTTATAATGTTGCTTCAAACTTCATGAATCACTATACAATGTGAAAAATAACCAGAACTGCCTCAGGAACTGTTTATTGGTTGCATGTTGTGCATAATCAGTGAAAAATTTAGGTACATTAAATAATTATTGTTGTCCCTGAATTTAAATGGAGGACTGTACTGACAAACCTTTTTCAAGACTGATTTTTGTAGTTTGAGATATATATAAGGGGTAAAATCACGTTACCTTCCTCTACTTTCAATTTTGTGCCAAAAAACCCCACTAAAATTAAACCACCCCCTGAACTATAAATCCTTATCACATTGCCCCCATACCCGTGATCGACCCGTCAATTAGGTTGTGAAATGACAAAATTGACCTTATAATTTAATATTAAATTAAAACCATATAATTATTATTTTCAAATTACAAAATACCCCTCAGATCATTTCCAAGCAAGATCAACCACTGATTATGTGTATATATCTATATATATATACCAACACACTACGCATCAATCACATTATTCATATATATATATATATATATATATATATATATATATAATATGATTCGAGGATGGCTTGATTCGCGGAAGGGAGCAAATTTTAGGTACGGACAAGCGAGGTCTCGAATTTTCGGCAACCAGCAAGGTCGCTGCTTGCGACCACTGAGGTCGTCACCGGCGACAACCTCCTGTTGTATGGGGGATCGATGGTAACGACGAAGTTGCCAAGACTCGTAACTACCATAGCAGAGGAACACATGGTGGTCGTACAGGGGATCGATGGTGCCGGCGAGGTTGGCTTTGTACATCTCTGGGCGCCAACCTGAACTTGATGTTTTCATCAGCTTCTGTCATGCCGGAAAGTAGGGTTTGCAGAGGGTGTTTTGTCTCTCTAAAATTCCTCAATCTCCATTCAACCACTATAATTCCTTCTTTCCAGTGACGGCATCTCTGGCCACATATATGATAGCCTTTATTCAGTCTTTAATTGAGCAAAAATGGGTGGTGTTTTTTTCAAGCTTTTAATGGGTCTGATTTTTTTTTTTTTTTTTTAATTAGTCAAGCTGGGGAAGTTTTTAGAGAGAGAGATTATGAGTTTAAGAGAGAGGGTGAAGAGGAAGGTCTGGTATTTTTTATTTTTTTTCAAGCTGGGGAAGTTTAGAGAGAGAAAGGTTAAGAGTTTTAGAGGGAGGGTGATGAGGAAGAAGACCTAGGCGGTATTTTTTTTAATTTTATAATAATTATATATTTTTAATTTAACATTAAATTATAAGGTCAGTTTTGTCTTTTCACAACCTAATTTACGAATATGGGGGCAATGCGATAAGGATTTAGTTCAGGGGGTGGTTTAATTTTAGTGGGGGTTTTTTGCACAAAATTGAAAGTAGAGGGGGGTTATGTGATTTTACCCTATCTAAAATTTATGTGGGACGCGTTCCCTTGTTGAACGGTTTTCTTTCTTAAATGAATTTACTTATCAAAAAAAAAAAAATTGATTGATGAGAACTTAAAAATGGTTGTCACATATGGTATGCACCATTTATAGCAAATATCCTTGTTACCCCTTGATTTTTCCCAATTCAGTTTATAATTTCATTTACAGTGAATATCCTTTTTACCTTGAGTGTAAGTCTATGATGGCTTAAGTATAATGCACTTGAAAAATAAAATCTGAATAAATTAATTTTTTGGTCCCTTTGCTTTAAATCAAATGTTATATGTATGCTTCTTTTTTAGTTTTCTTTTCTCAAAGAGGAAAAAATGAAATAGAGGAAGAAGGGATATCAACAAATTTGGGTTCAGTGCTGGGCTTGGTAAAAATATATTTCTATCAGCAGGGGCAGGACACAAAGGGTGGCTATAACATCTATGATTTACCTTTCATTTTAAAAACTAAACATTGCAATATTTTGAAATAAATCTTTTCTGTAATAAAACTTTATGGATTTAGAGAAAACTTCTATTAATATGTTAATATTCAAACTTCAAAAGAAGCGGTCACTAGTAATCGTCTTATTGAATTCATATTAGGAAACTCATGCACAATTCTTGATTTTTGGCACTAGTTGATTACTTTTAGGATTCATGTACCTTATCAGAAAAATCTGAGACTTGCCCTCTTTATTTTAAGATTGAATTTGTTACAAGAAAAATGTAAAAATTGCACCTGTTATTTCTTTGGTTAAAAGGTTTTAAATTTAATACTCTTAAGAGTCTCCTCAAAATATTAAACAAGAGAAGGAAACTTTTATTTTAACAGGCTCTTGTTTTAAAATTTCTTTACATGCTCCGGAGGAGTTTTCATCATCATAGAACCCTACCATTCAACAGAATTAGAAGAGACCAAGATAATGGTAGGCTTGCTTTGTTTGAAAGGAGGTAAAGAAGTTTCGGAACAGGTTTATTGAAGCAGGAAAAGGATGTAGTCATTTATGTCAGCAGTTGACATTTAATTTACTGCACCCCGCCATCCCTAACCTGCATTTTGGTTTCACTGGGGATTTAGTACTAGTGCCAGATTTGATCATGATCTTCAAGTCCTTTTGGATTAAAACAATATCTAATTTGAATTATGTAATTGCTAACATTGAATGCATGTTTTATATAATATCCTTAAATTTTTATATATAGAGAAAATTTACGGGTCTGTTTTTGGTACAAGAGCATCCGCTGGTTTTTTAAATCTTAAAGATTTGTCTGAACCACTTTCTGATTAAGTTTGTAATCGATTTGGTTATCCTATGGATAACTACTAACCATGACATGATTCAGCCGTAGCTTTGCTTAAAGAGCTTCGGCTATTTACTTCAGTTAAAGGTTTGAGCAATTTTTCATCTGAGCATGAGGAGTTTTCAGTAATCCCATCCAAAGAAGTTAATGCTTCGGAAATAGAGGGGATTTTACAGGAAGGAGTGGTTGATGTTGCTTTTCAGCAGCACCCTTTTAACACATCTTTTTCCGGGACAGATTGTGACGACCTTGTGGGCGGGTGTGCCGTGGGCGGGTGCGAGAGACACTGTCAGGCTACCACACTGGCGAGCTACGGGTGCACAGTCCCACATCACCTGGGTAGAGGAAAGGTGAAGTGCTTATATGTAAGTGCATCATCTCCAATTGGTATGAGGCCTTTTGGGGTGAAGCTCAAGAGCAAAACCGTGCGGGCTCAGGCCCCAAGCGAACAATATCATACCATGTGGTGGAGTGGGTCGTTACAAATGGTATCAGAGCCTGACCCAGCCGGAAGTGTGCCGACGGGGACGTCGGGCCTCCAAGGGGGGTGGATTGTGACGACCTTGTGGGCGGGTGTGCCGTGGGCGGGTGCGAGAGACACTGTCAGGCTACCACACTGGCGAGCTACGGGTGCACAGTCCCACATCGCCTGGGTAGAGGAAAGGTGAAGTGCTTATATGTAAGTGCATCATCTCCAATTGGTATGAGGCCTTTTGGGGTGAAGCCCAAGAGCAAAACCGTGCGGGCTCAGGCCCAAAGCGGACAATATCATACCATGTGGTGGAGTGGGTCGTTACACAGATCCTGTTCACGATGAAGTGGACTTTATGGAACCTTTGGCTGTTGTGCGGCCTGATTGTTTGGAGACAACCACTGATCTGGGCATGGAATGGGTCATTGAGAATATTGGAGCAGTTAGTGAAGCTTTGGGTGTCTCTGCAGAAGGTTATGAGGAACAAACCCTGTGTATTCTCCACAAAATTATTGCAGGAAATGGTAGCAGTGAACCAATTCGTGACACAAAAGAAGTCAAAGTCAGAAATTCACATCGGAAAGGCGAACAGGAAGTGAAGAATTTGATTTCTTGTGTTAACTACGATGGAAAGAATGGGTCAACCAAAGAAAGGGGGAGAACTAGGAGTGGTAAAAGGGGAGGAGGTGAATTGATTGTTTTTGGTTCTTCATGAAGCTACGACTTATAACATGGAATGTTCGTGGTCTTAATGACCCGAAAAGAAGAAGAGTTATCAAGGTCACTTTGAGGAAGTGGAGTGCTCATGTTGTCTGCTTACAAGAAACTAAATTGGCTGATATTACTGTTGAGATTGTCAGGAGTCTTTGGGGAGGTAGGTTTGTGGACTTTGAAGTTTTAAATGCAACAGGCACTTCAGGTGGTATTCTCCTCATGTGGGATCGTAGATGGTTGTCAAGTTTGAACTGTTGGAAGGGTATTTTCTCGGTGTCATGCATGTTTCAGATGGAAGAAGACAATTTCAAATGGACGTTTTCAGGTGTGTATGGGCCTGTTACTGATAGTGATAAACCAGTCCTGTGGGAAGAGCTTTGCTTTGTTAAGGACTTATGGTCATTGCCTTGGTACTTAGGTGGGGATTTTAACTCTGTTATATCCCCATTTGAGAGATCCACAGGAGGTAGGTGGTCTTCAGAAATGACCATGTTTTCAGAATTTATTGACAATAATTTTCTTATCGATCTTCCGTTGGAAGGAGCGGCTTTTACTTGGTCTAATGGTAGGGAACCGGTTACTTTTTCTCGATTGGATCGTTTCCTGATTTCTGGGGCTTGGGAAGAGCATTTCCCGGATGTCTCTCAGGCTGTGTTGGTTAGAGTCACATCTGATCATATACCTCTTGTTTTGGATTGTGGTGGTTTGAGGTCTAGATGCACTCCTTTCAGATTCGAAAACATGTGGCTTAGATCTGAAGACTTTCAAGGGAAGGTTCAGTCTTGGTGGCAAAAAGGGTCTTTCACAGGCTCTGCTAGTTATGTGTTAGCTAGAAAGCTTCAGTTTCTTAAAACTGAGCTTAAGAGATGGAATAAAGAAGTTTTTGGGAATCTTGAATGGAAAAAGAATAGAGCCCTTGCTGATATTGCTGAGCTTGATCGTTTAGCTGAGGTGGGACAGAGTAGGGAGTCTTTACGCTCTCAAAGAGCCTCTTGTCAAGCGGTTTTTGCTGAGATTGTTCATATGGAGGAGATTTCGTGGCTTCAAAAGTCTCGGGCTTTGTGGTTAAAAGATGGTGATCGGAATACAAAATTCTTTCATAGATTGGCCAATGCTCACAGAAGGTGTAATCATATCGGACGTATTCGGGTTAATGGTTCTGATTTGTGGAGAGAAGAAGATGTGCGCGGAGGAATTGCTTCTTTTTATCAGCAGCTTTACACTGAAACTTTGGATCGAAGACCTACTCTTGATGGTCTTCCATTTAATACTATTTCTGCGTTGGATAGGGATAGTATTGAGATTCCATTCACGGAAGAGGAAGTGCTTAAGGCACTTTCTAGTTGCAACGGGGACAAAGCACCAAGGCCAGATGGATTTACTATGCGCTTTTTTAAGGAGAGTTGGGAGGTGGTGCGAGAGGAGGTGATGAGCACTTTTCAGGATTTTTATTCTCATGGCACATTTGAAAAATCTTTGAATGCATCTTTTATTGCTCTCATCCCTAAAAAGGGCTGTGCATCTGATATCAAGGATTTTCGGCCAATTAGCTTAATCGGATGTATGTATAAGCTTATTGCCAAGGTTCTTGTTTCCAGGATGAGTAAAGTGTTGGATGGTCTTATCTCAGAATCGCAGAACGCTTTTGTTGGTGGAAGGCAGATTTTGGATTCTGTTCTTATTGCTGGGGAATGTGTTGACTCTAGATTAAGAAGTGGGGTTCCTGGCGTTTTGTGTAAGCTTGATATCGAGAAAGCTTATGATCATGTTAATTGGAAGTTTGTTTTGTATCTTCTTCGGAGGATGGGATTTGGTGATAGATGGATAAAATGGATTGACACTTGTATCTCATCAGTTATGTTTTCTGTTCTTGTGAATGGCTCTCCTGCGGGTTTTTTTGCTAGCTCACGTGGTCTGCGACAAGGTGATCCATTATCTTCTTTTCTTTTTCTCATCGTTATGGAAGGTCTGACTAGATTAATGAGAAAAGCGGAAGATTTGGGTTACATTAGGGGGTTCAGAGTTGGCAGAGATGTTGATCATCAGATCCAGATTTCCCATCTTTATTTGCTGATGATACTTTGGTATTTTGTGATGCTGATATTTCTCAACTTAGATATCTGAGGTGCACTCTTGCTTGCTTCCAAGCAGTTTCTGGGCTTAAGATTAATGTCGGAAAGAGTGTGCTTGTTCCAGTGGGGGATGTTCCAGATATTTCCTCCTTAGCTGCTGTTTTAGGGTGCGGAGTTGGTTCTTTTCCTCTTCCTTATTTAGGATTGCCTTTGGGAGTTTCTTCTACTCTGGTTGGGAATTGGGATTCAGTGATTAATAGATATGAGAAAAGATTAGCAGTATCTATCTAAGGGTGGGAAAGTCACACTTATAAAGAGTACTCTTTCATCCTTTCCTACCTATTTTTTTATCTTTGTTTCAAATTCCATGTTCTGTTGCTGATAGAATTGAAAAAGTTTAGAGGGATTTTCTGTGGGGTGGAAGGGGAGAGGAGTTTAAGTATCATCTTGTTAATTGGGATCAAGTTTGCCAACCATTGAGATTCAGAGGGTTAGGCATTCGAAAAATTGTTCCTTTTAATCGTGCTCTCTTAGGAAAGTGGTTATGGCAATTTGGAAGGGAACGACATCGTCAATGGAGAAGAGTTGTCTCGTGTCGTTTTGGTGAGGGGAGTGGGGGTTAGTCATCTCTTCCAGTCACTATTACAGGAGGCGTTGGTTTGTGGAAATTTATTCGGAAGGGATGGGATGTCTTCTCTACTCTTATTAGATTCGAAGTTCGTAATGGCAGGCATGTTCGTTTTTGGGAGGATCTTTGGTGTGGCGACCAGTTGCTTTCACACTCATTTCCTAGGCTTTATAGCATTGCAACTAATAAGCATGTTTTCGTGATTGATTGTTATCATCTTGATAACAATGGAGTTACGTGGGATGTGCGGTTTAGGCGGTCTTTTCAGGATTGGGAAATGGAGGAAGTCTCTGCTTTTTTGGATATTTTGTATGGGCAGAAGGATATTGGCAGAGGGTGTGATGATATTTTGTGGGTTCCTTTGGCTCATGGTCGGTATGATGTCCGCTCTATGTTTATTCATTTATCCAATTTCGTTGGTTCCGAGTTTCCTTGGAAGTCCGTGTGGTGCTCTAAAGCCCCTCTTCGAATCGCGTTCTTCGTTTGGACAGCTACATTGGGGAAGATTTTGACTTTGGACAATTTGAGAAAGAGAGGCAACATCATTGTTAATTGGTGTTGTTTATGCAAAGATGATAGTGAATCCGTGGATCACATTCTTTTGCATTGTCCTGTGGCGTTTGGTTGTTGGAGTTTTATTTTCAGCATATTCGGCATTTTTTGGGTAATGCCTAAGCACTCCTCTCAATTGATTAACGCTTGGAAAAGCTGTCCTGTTAAGAAACAAGCTCGTGCTTATTGAAAGATTGTTCCTCATTGTGTCTGGTGGTGTTTGTGGCGTGAGAGAAATAACAGATCCTTTGAAGGAAAAGAATCGTCCTTAGCTAATTTAAAAATTCATATTCTTCGTTCTTTATTCTTTTATGTTAGAGGAAGTACATGCTCCTCGATTGATGATTTCTTTGATCTCTTGGATTCTATTGGTCCTTAGATCTTTTCTCTTGTATTAGGGATGCGTTCCCCTTTTGAACATTTTTCTAATATATTTTTACTTATGAAAAAAAAAAAAAAAAAAAAAAAAAACTACTAACCATGACATGCATATTCGTTTTATAATCTGCTTGGTGTGGGATGAAAAATTAAAAGGGAAGGTAGGAGGGATTGAGAAGGTATTTGTAAAGAACCTACTTTTGGAATGCAATAGGTGCTACATGGGTAAGGAAAGAAAGCAGCACATAAAGCTCATGGGTAAGATTTGAGTTGACTAAAATGATGACCTTAGAAAGAGAAAAGCAGCACATAAAGTTCATGTAGCCAATCGAAAAATTTGGGATAAAGCTTCATTCAGTTGAATTACACATCAAGTTTCATTGTTTCTAAATTGACTCAGTTGCCGGTTAATTGTACAATGTTTCAAGCAAGTAGGTATTTGCAAGTTATATAGTTATGCCCTAAATATTGCAAAAGATATTCAGCTAAATATTTTCTTTTTGGATCAAAATTTTAGGAAGACTTCAAAAGATGTGAAATATCCTCCATAAATTGTTGCTTGCAAATTGGAATTAATGACTAACCTTCATATTTTGTTGAAATGGTCTATATTTGTTGTCAATCGTGCTATTGACTGAATGTGGATATAAATTCATTTTTTTTTTTTTTTTTCAATTCTCTAAGTGCATAATAGTTTGTAATTTATGCAGTGGCATTGCTGTATCAATGGTAATGAAGTATGCTGACAACATCGTGAAGGTAAGATAGCAAGATAATTTTTTATTTTTATTTTTATTTTATTTTATTTCCCATAGATGTACTAATTCACATCTTTACATCTATATATACTACAATTATTATGCCTGGGTATATATCAGTTTTATTTTTATTTTTTTATTTTTTCTAATGAATTGAAAGAAATTGCTAGAATGTTTTGGCTAAAATTTATATGTTCTTACTTCATCTTGTAACATTAAATGATCTCTTACCATGTTCACTTATGAGAGAATGATCTAGTACCACATACCTACATTATTGTGATGGTGGGATATTGAGGGTGGAGGTTGCAAAATATGATTTAAACTTATACAGTTTTATATATTTTTAAGTATAGTAGTTTGAAAAATCAGTTTGTAGCAATGCGGACTGAAGCCAAAGTTCCTACTAGGCATATCATTTGGTTCTCTGTATCTGTCCAAAATTGTTTCAGTAAGTGGGCGTTATATGCAATCTTACTTCTCTTGGTTATAAATACAAACTTTCTTTTCTTCAAGTTGAACTTTTTGGTTAAGTTGTTAATACCATGATACTCCGAAAAGGATCCTATGTAATTGCCTGGTCAAATGATTCTTATAAGAAATACTGTGTCTATCAGCAAATACTAAGGAAAGGCATTTGTATTTTGGTTAACAGCTATTTATCAATGCCTCATCTCTCAACCAAAAATATATATAAGTAACAAGGACGTTGATGTTAATATTTAAACTTATTTTCTTCCTCCATTTTCTATATTGCACAAGGCTTAAGCATCCTTACAACATGAAAATCTTGCCATATTAATACATCAACATGAATGACACATATCACTTGGCACGCCATATTAATACATCAACATGAATGACACATATCACTTGGCACTCATTATGGACTTCTAAGATTGTATTGGAGTGCTTATTTAGCCGCCCAAAATTTTGCAGGTGTATTCTACTTCAGTGGCAATGCTGCTGACAGCGGTTGTTTCCGTATTCTTATTTGGGTTTCATCTGTCCCTTGCCTTCTTCCTTGGCTCCATGTAAGTACCTTTAGGTTTATTTTTTCAGGTCTTTGTTGTAGCAAGCTCAATAGGTTTTAGGTAAACCGGTCTTTTCTGCCTGTTTGAATAGCATGGCAGATGTATAGTGCTGGGACCAAGTAGGATCGTATTTATTTAATAGTGCTAGATTATAAGTTAAATGTTTATTAAGATACCACCACATCAATCTTGTCCTCATTTCTGCATGTGTACCATGTGCAACATGCTTAGGAGCTAGGGCTCTTGTTTACTTTGGAACAAATCACAATGTGAAAGCCATTCTAGAATGGTGGTTAGCTCTAGTCTGAAAAAAAAAAGAAAAAAAAGAGAGCATATTACGATTGGGTATGTTTTAACTTTTAGTTCCTTCGTACTAATTCTACTTTTTTTCTTTTTCTATTTACATGTGTACAGTGTTGTCTCTGTCTCAATATATTTACACTCCATTGGGAAGCTGCAAAGATAGTGATGGCATTTCATTTATTCTTATAGCCCATTGAGCATCAATGTAAAGTCTTAGGGCCAATATTCTGTGATTTTTTAGAAAGTTTTTGGATTTGGCTGTTTTGAATTTACCAACTCATGAGTTTGGATAATATATGAGTAACATGATGTTTTATCATGTAATATTTACCACCATTAAATCAAATGTCATAGTGAAGGACATTTTGATGTTGATTAAGAGGATAAATTTAATTGATATGGTGTGATTTTGTTTAAGCATTTTGTTGTTTTGAGCGGCTGAAGCAAGTGGAAGGTTTGGTGTGTGTGTGAAGTGCCAAATTGTGTGTCATATTGAAGCTTACATGGGAAGTCCACTCTGTTGTGGAAAGGAGGTAGTTATGTTTGGAACCTTACATAGGAAGTCCACAATTCAAGTTCACTTTTGATGAAACGACGTCGGGAGGTGAGAGCTCGGTAGTTAAAACCAGGTCCATCTTGTTCTAAGATCTCCATCCTTACCTTTGTTATGTCTCTGTGGGTGGAGTTTTGAATTGTGGATTATTCAGAAGATGAGTTGACCTGTAACATCAAAACATCAAAATGTTCTGTTAATGGCTCGGGTGAAGTATATCGTGACCATACTTGACCTGTAACCAACAATAAATTTCAATCGCTATATAATGAATGACAACTTGTCCTTTACAAGATCTTTAGGACACCCTCCTCGTCATCGGTTCACATATGACAAAATCTTTAGGGTTTAGGATCTGAAAGATGAGAAAATATCACCATCTCTTCTTCTTAGGTATTAGTTCAACAAGATCATTTGCCAGAGAGGGCTCTCTAAAAGAAAACAATTAATGCAAAGAAATGAATTAGTATTATCTGGCCTGTAATATTTGTTTAGTGGCTATATCGCGATGAATAAATTTTTGTAATATTTCCACTGGTCTATAATACTAATACTTTCCGGTACTGCTTTATCGTGGTCGGTGAAATTTTTGGTTACAGAATAAAGTGATAATGGAATGTTACACTTAAATGGATTGCGATGAATAAAGTGTTCAAACCCGAGCGATTTAACGGCTGCTTTAAATATGAGAGAATCTCATTATGAGTTAATACAGTGAGTAGAATCTTGGTCCTTTGATGGTAAAAGTGATTGAGACCCTAACGGTTTTAGGACTGCTTAAAAAAAGTGAGAATCTCATCATATGATCGCAAAGAATGATTTTATAATGAATGGTTAAATGTCTATATATGCTTTGAACGTAATAAAATTTTTAGTTATGTAGTATACTCTGGAGTTGTATATAAACAAAGAATACTACAGAGTTGTACAGTTACTGCATATTAAAGTTTATGTGCAGTATACTCTTATACATGCAGTTTATTAAAGTATGCGTATAACTGTTGTTTTAATGCGTATTTTTAACCAGAGAGTAGCGATAACATCTTTGGTTGTTTGGTTCTTTGATAAAAAATAAAGTTTTATATATATATATATATCACATAAAGATTATGCATTAAAAGGATATAGTTCATTCATAAAATGTGTTTTATTTTGCCCCACAGGGAAATAATCATTGTTTGTAAATGAACGTGGATAAAAATAAATTTTGAATTAAATTGACAATGAATACAAATGTCCAGGATTGAATGACCCACAGGAAGGTTAAAATGAATACATTAGGATTTCTTATTTTGTTTTGCGGGCATTAATCAATCTGATTTCATAGCCGAAGGTAATGCGATCTTCTTTGAACTTGATAGTTTTTCTTACACTGCAATCTTACATTAATTAAAGATAACATACCAGTTATGTTGTTTTCTAATTCAAGGCAGATGAAAATTACACATGGCCTCGGTGCCTCGCTCTGAGACCAAAATATTGTTTTAAAATATTTTCTAATTAAAATTAAAGTTAGTCAATGAAAAATAAATCTTTTACGGAGTAAGATGATGTATATATATTGTGGTTATGTATATATAAAGCACAACTAGTTCCATCTACTTACTGCTATGTAAGCATTTCGTTGTCAACAGTCTACATCAGTTATTCCTATATATTGTTCATTCAACATCTAATTTTCATTCAAGATCCTATAATATTTAGTCAATGCCTTTTAATTCTTTTCTCAAACTCAAATCTGAGTAATTTGGGGGAAAAAAAAAAAGTGTACCACAAAAACATGGATTTTATTTGTCACATATTATATTATCAGGTTGCTTTGATTTCAAATATTTGTCATTATTTTACAGGACGGTGATGAGGGAAGTGCTCAAGCAGAATATTTTGTTTTCTTTTTTCTTTTTTCTGTTTTTTTTTTTTGGTTCTATTTGGTAGTTTTTTCTTCTTCTTCTTCTTCTTTTTTATTTTATTTTATTTTTGGTAATATTTACTGTAATGTCATCCCTTTTTTCCATCTCACTTAAAAATTATCCTTTCCGAAAACATACTTTTTTGCACTTTAGCATGGGTACAACATGACCCATTTACAGTAGAGGATCATAGTCTTGTATGGAAAGCACAACTAGTTCTATCTACTTTCCGAATCGAATCTCTTTAGAAAGAAGATCTTTTGTCTCATGGTAACCTGCTCCAGTCCCCTTACAAAACTTTCGTTATTGGGTTAGCCATACACTTCACATGTTTCTAGCGATTCACATGGCATCATTAAATGATACAAGTCTTGGATAAGAATCTACAATGCACTAAAACGCCCTTGTTGATGATCCTTTACTCCAACAGCATCTAGGGTTTCTTGAACAATGTGATATCTCACACCGCCATCTCAATTTAAGTGTTGCTTTTGGGGAGTAGTAATTTTTAAGGGGACATGCAAAACATGCATTTTCTCTCTAAAAAGTTACTAAATTGCCCTTTTAAGTTTTAGATATTCAAGTTTAAAATTTAAAATTTAAAGGACATATATGGAAAGATGTGAAATATATTATTTAAAAAAGGAAAGTGAACAATTATTTTGGGACAGACAAAAATAGAAAGTATGACACTTTTTTTTTTTTGGGACAAAGGGAGTACTATATAAGCATTTCATGATCAACAATCCACTGACCTCGATGCATCAGTTATTCCTATATATTGTTCATTCAACAATATAGAATCAGTCGCAGGGGTTTACGATCGATTGTAAGTTCCTTACGATCGATTGTGCTGATGTGGCCTTCTTATCTTGACAACTGGCTGCCTTAACCGCTAAGCTAATGCTAACTAGGATTGCGATCAATCGTGAATTCCTTGCGATCGATCGTGAATTTTGTGAACGGTCATGATGGCTTATCCACATTGTTGACATGGCACGATCGGTGATGTGGCTTTGCGATCGATCGTAGGCCCGATATCATCCAATAAGAATGGGTTAAGAATAATTTATGAGCAGTTATATTTAAGACAAGGTAATAACTATTCAAAAACTATTAATTCATTAAAACACCAATTGAGTTGGCTCAATTACTCAAAATCATGTAATCAAAATATATAAATTAATAAATTCCCAAAGTATAAACAATCAAACCATAATACTTGAATCGGGTTACATCAATGTCCTAAGATAGGAATTAGCTACTCATTACGACGCAAGATATCATCTGTGTTGTTGTGATCTTCATCGCTATGGACTGCCAAAACTCCTTTTGGATCTTCTTCTTCAAAACCCTAAAAGCCACCGTCAGAGAGAGATGAATAATAACTAGAAAATAGATGATTTTCTGTGGCCTTCTCCTCTTCTTTTATAGTGGAGAATAAGTCCCAATTCCCTTTGGATTGGTTTTCTAGCTTTTGGTAACAATCGGGCCTTTAAGGAAATAAAGGGAGGTGAAAATATATAATTCCCATATGTATTTTTAACTTCCAGGATGTCAAGGCTCGAGCTCTGGAGTCCCAAGCTCGAGCTCTACTTGCCAATAACTTGTTCTAATGTTATGATGCGATTTTGACCCATTTAAAGCGCGAATCTCGAGATGGCTATTAGCGACAAAAACATTGGGTTTCGAGTCTTTTTTCCAAAGCCGCTGAGTTTGCTCAATTTGAAGTTCCGAGTCAAATGTTATACCCAAAATACTGAAGCAGGTCCAGAGTTTTCAACAATGCTCAAGCCCTGAGTGATTGTGCTTGAGCTTTCTGAGTTAGGCTCGAGCTTTGAAGCTTGGGCTCGAGCTCTGGGAGCAAAATTTATCTAGAATATCTTTTTATTAATGATGCTCGATTATCTCTTCATGGTGCTCGATCCCAAGGTGTTGGGCTCGAGCTTTGGGGTTGTGGGAGGTGTTAATGCTTGATCCCTGAAGCTTGGCACTAGGTCCTGGGAGTTTGGATCAACTTTTCATATTCTGATGCATCATGTGCTTGAGCTCTTCGACAAAGGCTCGAGCACCCTGTGGTTGGGCTCGAGCTCTAAGGGTCAGGGCTCGAAATTTCTTGCCTTGGGAATTTCTTGTCTTTTTCTGCTGAGCTTGAGCTATAGAACTGAGGCTCGAGCTTCTAAACTTGAAGCTCCCCAAAATTCATTATTTTGACTCTCAGCTTGCTTTGAATGCCTGGCAATGACTCGATAAACTTCTTTATCATTCTTTTCATCATAAAAGCCCGGTTTTAACCGTTTCTTTGGGAAAGTACCTAAAAACACAAAATACACAGAAATCAGTCTAACAATGGATAGAAATATCACTTTAGGTCTTAACATATGTATATTTAAGGGCTTAAATATGCAATATTTAGCTTTTATCACACCCCCAAACTTACATATTGCTAGTCCCTTAGCAATACAGAACTTAAAACCGCTTTCGTGGGAATCACGATTGCATTCAACTTATGCAACAAGCCTTTAAACCCCTAGGTTACCCCTAGTGGACAAGTTGTAGTCTTGTGAGGGTTTCCAGTGATGGTACCCACAAACATCTCAAATCAATGCCTTAATTACGCAGTAAGCTCATTTAAACCTGTTTTCATATCATAATCTTCCGGCAATGCATCAATCAGTCAACTACAACAAGTATAACAAGTTATATTAATCAGGAAAAATTTCGAACCTTCAATCTCAATTTAGTAACCATGATCCCTACATGTCAGTTTAATCATTTATTCAACAATCTCAATTCCCAAAATCCTTTTTATAGTGAACTCACAGTTTTAAACATGTGGCTTACTATTCATACTTATATTCATTCTATGCTATCCCTCAATTTACAGGCAAACTTTTCAAATTTTAATTCCCAAGGTATTTTTTATTTTTTTATTTTTTTCCTTCAGGTATGCA